TCTGCAAAATGAACGCAGGTGAATTAGCCCTCATTGTATACTTGGGAAATGAACTTTTTACACAGTGAGTAATGACACACTATCTCACAACAGGAAACCAGATAATTCATGATTTCTGAGATGTCTTGTGATTCAGACTTTGCCCCAGAAATTCTGAGTTTATCAAGCACCCTCTGAGTAGCATCATAACATGCATAAACTTAGCTCTTGCTGAGCAAAACTGAGTATTTCCCAGGGCACTGAAGTTCCAGGTTATATTTAGATGGACAATAAGTCACTGCCACATTTCATCAGCTGTGAATCATGATTTATTTGAGTATGGTCTGTGTCACACATTCTTTGCTCCCCATTTATTTTCTTCACAGTGTTGACCAACAAATTGTACTTCTATGTAAAGGCCAGGGTAAGCATCTCATAATGTGTACAGAGAATCAATACACGAAGTAGAAATGATACATTAGTGAATGAAAAGAATTCATTTGGTAAAGAGACAAATTGTCAAATATGCATAATGGGGACAAGTTTGTCTGTCTCCAATTTCTGTGAAGATGCTGAGTCCCACACCGTACATAACCATAGGCAAGGATAACAGTTATCTTCAAGAAAACCTGACTACTGAGAAAATAATATTAGAAATAGAAATGGAAATGCAAAATCATCATTTGGAAAACAGGAATTTGATGTGAAGTCTCTCAGGGAAATGCAGACTTTCCCCTCTCAAAATGAATAGTCACATTGGGCAGAGGGTTATGTCTAGGGAATGGCCCTTCAATAGAGGCTTTTTGAGATCTCTAGTCATTTAATGATCTTAGCTGTCTAATATCATTGTCATAGAGAAAATGCCTTCTAAGCCATCTAAATGCATTTTTTAAAACTGGAAGGTTTACTTAAAAATAAAATGTTTTGCAGTTACATCTCAGTGTTTATTGCTGGCGATGAGTGTATTCTGAGCACTAGGGCACAGAGCCTTGGCCTCCAGGTATGGGATCTTGTGCTGTGGTCAGGTTGTGGTTCTGCTGTATTTATTAAGTATTTTCTTATATTAACATATATTTATATACTTGTAATATTCAAAAAGTTGTTGGTGGTCCCCAAGATACACAACAAATGAAATACCAGAGAATAAAGTTTATTTATTAGGAAAGGATTCCTGTGTACATCTGATAATATCTGCCTTTTGCACTGAAATGGCAAGGACAGGGAAAGCCTGGACTTCATGACTCCTTGGGTAGATATCGTCTGTCTTGTTTTATTACAGGAACAGTTGCATAACTCACTTCATATTTTTTTCAGGATATATGTGGGGTGATCCCCAAACCGAAGGTATAAATTACATATTCAGTTACATCTGTTTCATGCAAGTGATGTAATTTCATTCTTCTCTCCACTGGTGCTGAATAAAGCTCTATTTTGTATTTATACATTTCCTTTATTGATTAGTTTTAGTGGCAAACCAGCCTAATCCCTTTGCTTGGCTGCTATGAATAAACATGAACATGCTAGTATTTCTGTAGTATCTTGACTTCCTCACTCTTGTGTAGGCAGAAGTTTTTGTGTCCTGTCAGCTGCTCCCAAATAACCACAAAGAGGCTTAATATTAATTGTAAATGCTCAACCAGTTCTCATGTATATTAGGAATATACTTAGTGACTCACTTTAATGGTTAACCAGGATTAGTAGTTGAATCATAGTACTATATATTAGGGTGTGTGTGTGTGTGTGCGCGCGTGTGTGTGTGTTTGTGTGTGTGTGTGTGTGTGTGTGTGTGTGTGTGTGCGCGCGCTTATTTTAGGAAAATGTATATTAATTGTCACAGCAGCTGCAGCAATTTCCATTTCTGCCAGGCATTTATGAGGGTATCTTTTCTCCCACATGTATGAGGGTATCTTCTTTACCAGCATTTATTATATTTTCTTGATGATAACTATTCTTGTGGTGATATGGAATCTTAAAGAAGTTTTAATTTGCATTTTCATCATGGCTAAGGATACTGAACTCATTTTCTCTTATATTTATTGGTCCCTTGTACTTGTTTTTTAGAACCATGGACACAATTTGCTCATTTGAGAATAGAAATTTTTGTTCTTTCAGGGGTTTATTTGATTTGATAGAAAAATCTAAATATTAATCCCTTCAAAACCATAGTTGAAGTTTTTCTCACTCTGTAGGGTGTCTCACCACTATGCTTATTGTTTTCTGAGCTATGCAGAAGCTTTACAACCATGAGATCTCATTTGTCAGTTCTTATAATTATTGACTCTGCTATTGGAATATTTTTCAGAAACTTATCTATGTCTGCACCTTGGAGTGCTTTTTGTATGTTTTTCACTAATAGTTTCAAAGTTTTAGGTCTTACATGCAGAACTCCCTTTTCAGTTGTTGTTTTGTTTTTCCCAGACAGTAAGACTTTATGGGACTAGATTTGTTCTTCTTTATATGAATTCTCAGTTTTTCCAGAACAATTTGTTGAAAAAGCTATCTTTGTTCCATATATGCTTTTGGAGCACTTTTGCTGGGAATCAGATTAACTACTTTGGTTTATTTCCGTATCCTCTTTTCTATTCCTCTGGTTCATATGCCCATTTTTCAGTATTATACTTTTATGTTGTTACTATGGCTTGATTGCATAGCTTGAAATCAGTTGTTGTGATAGCTACTGCTTTGATTTTTCTTAGAATCCTTTGACTTCCACATGGATTTTTTTTTTGGTTGTGAGCCTAGCCTTTAACGGCTGAGTCATCTCTCCAGCCCTGGGTTGTGTATTCTTGTTTTTTGAAGAATGTCATCAGATTTTTGATGAGCATTGGATGGAATCTAAACATTGTTTCTGTTGTGCAATCATTTAAAATATCAATTTTGCCAACCTACCAGTGAGCTTGGAATTGGAGTGAGCCTTCCAATTTCTACTATTTTCCTTAAATACTTTCTTCAGTGTTTTAAAGTTTTCATTAAAGGCCATTTATGTCCTGTGATGGCTTAAATGAGAATGGTCCTATAGGTTCATATACGTGAATGTTTGGTCCCAAGATTGGTAGAATTGTTTGATACAGATGTGGCCCTGTTAGAGGCATGTCACTGGAGGTGGGCTTTGAAGTTTCAAAAGCTTACATTATTTCAGTTTTCCCTTTCTGCCTCCTGCTTGTGGATCAGATGTAAACTCTCAGCTACTTTTCCAGCTCCATGCCTGCCTGCTCTCATACTTCCTGTCAAGGTAGTCATCGGAATCAACCCCTGAAACTGTGAGCAAGCCCCAATTAAATGCTTTGTTTTATAAGTTGCCTTAGTCATGGTAACGCTGCACAGTAAGTAAAAGTAGCTAAGACACTTCCTTTACTAAGTTTATTCCTTGGTATTTTGTTGCTTGCTTTTTTGTCTTTTTTTATGGTTAAATTTAAGTTAGAAACAAGGTTGCTTCACATGTCAATCCCAGCTCCCTCTCCCTCCCCTTCTCCCATGCCCTCCCACCAACTCTCCCCTTGTCTCCTCCCCCATTTCCCACTCCTTTCCCCAGGGAGGGTGAGGCCTTCCATGGGGGGTGCCCATAGTCTGTCATTTCATCCAGGGCAGTGCCTAGGCCCTCCCCCAAGAGTCCAGGCTGAGAGAGCATCTTTCATTGTGGGATGGGCACCCAAAGTACATTTATTTGCCAGGGATAAATGCTGATCTACTACCCAAGGCCCCATAGATTTCTTAGGCCTCCTCACTGATACCCACATTCAGCGGGTCTGGATCAGTCCCATGCTGGATTCCCAGCCATCAGTCTGGGGTTCAAGAACTCCCCCTTGTTGTGGATTAGATTTATACTTGATTTCCTTTTATTGGAAAAGTAGATATTGGCATAAGACAATATTCATCTTTAAGGTGCATGTCTGTAAGTGTATGAATATGAGTGTCTGAGTACTATGGTGCAAATCTGGTGGAGTAATTAGTTCTTGCCTTGCCTTGTACCTTCATCGAGGCGAGGCTTCTAGTTGTTTTTGAAGCACTGCATATTCCAGAATAGCTGGCCCATGAGCTCCTAGAAGACTCTCCTCTCTCCTCCTCCCATATCATCATAGCACTGTACGCCCACTTCTACATCCAATTTTTTACTCAAGTCACCATGCATTCATTGTTGCTGGAGATTTCTCTTGTCCTGCCTGGTCCCACCAAATAAACACACAAACACTGTATTATTAAACTGTTGGTCAATGGCTAGGGCTTCTTATTGGCTAGCTCTGTCTTAACTATCTACCCATAACTACTAATCTATGCATTTCTACATGGCCTTATCTTACTGGAGAACACCTGGTTGGTAGGCTTTACCCACAGAGCTGTCCCCTGACTTGAATCTACTGAGTTTTGTGTGCTGATGCTATGTTCTGTTATTTTACTAAAAGTGTTAACAAAGCTAAGATTTTTTTTTCTGGTGAAACCATTGAGATGTCTTACATATAGGACTGTGTCATCTGAACTACTGATAACATGACTCATTCCTCTCCCATTTGTATACTTTTTTCACTTTTTCTTTTGCCCATTGCCCCAAGTCTTCAAATACCGTACTGAATAAGAGTAGAGGAGATAGACACCCTTGTGTCATTCCCTATTTTAGTGAGAATGCATTGAGTGTAGTAATGTTGGCTATACTGCCTCCCATAGACACACACATACACACATACTCGCATACATACATTTAGAAAACTGCATTGATTCTCTTTTTTGGAAAAATTAACTCATACAGAAAAAAAACTCCAGTCATTTGGGGGAAAAATACCACTTTCACACCCCACGCCATCCTTAAGTACAGGTGACTCCTCGGGAGGGTCTGCTACTTAGACACAGACCCTGCAGATCAGATGAGAACAGCTATGCCTCCTTCAAGATGTCATTGTCTTAGAGGTGACAACATATTCCTATTTACTCAGTTCAGTTCAGAAAAGAGGTACTAGATGTGAAGGGCTAAAAAGGAGGGAGATATGGCTATATTTTATCAGAGAAAGGAAAAATGGAAATTTTAAAAATTAATTTTCCTTTTGACTTTATTTCCAAATTATTTCTTTCAATCACCTGCTGTGGGAATGACAAATATCAGTATAGGGAATCCAATTATATCCAAAATGCTACATCTGGTCTGGGGTATATGGTCTTATTCCTGGTAACCTACATTAAGTAGCACTAATTTCACAGTAACTAGGTAACTAACATGAAACCATAGACCCATTACTATATCACAGCTGCATAGACAAAGTTTCAACAAAAATAAAGATGACAATCAATTCACTTTATGGAGTAAAGTCTGAATTGGTGACTTAGAATTCTTCACAGTTGATAGATGATAGGTTGGTGTGTCAGAAAGCAGTTACAGTCTAATAGCAAAGTTACCGTTTCTCTTTCTAGAAATAACAAATTCTTCAACTAGTGCCTGGTGTTTCAGGTGGAATGCAGAATGGGCTGTTAGAGTTAAGATCCTGGCATCTCAGACCCATTGGACATCATTAGGAAATTACCTTTCCCTTATAAACACTGGTAGCAAGATGACTTCTGATTTGTAATCTCGGACTTACGAATAAATTAAAAGGCTAGCAACTACACAATAATATTAGTAAATAGCACTTGAAAATTAATTGCACCAGGGCTGTGCTTGCACTAGGTTTCACAAGACATAGCACCCAGTCTTTCTCTTCCCTCGGTTTGTTTGCAGAGCAGCCCTTGTGGCCATTTCAAAGACCATCCTCACTCCATCTTTGGTCTTTGCAGAACACTCCACATACCCGAAAGCGCCAATGATGTTGGCCAAATGTCGACCTTCTTCATGTCTTACCGGCTCCTGCTTCCTCTTGGCCAATTCCTGTCTCGTGTACCTGTCGTTCCGAAGATCCTTCTTACTCCCAACCAGGATGATGGGCACGTTGGGACAGAAATGCTTGATTTCTGGAGTCCATTTCTGTGGAATGTTCCCAAAGCTATCAGGGTTGCCAATGGAGAAACACATCAGGAGAACATCGGTGTCCGGATAGGAGAGTGGCCTCAGGCGATCATAGTCTTCTTGTCCAGCTGTGTCCCACAGCGCCAACTCCACCTGTTTTCCATCCACTTCTATATCAGCCACGTAGTTCTCAAACACTGTGGGCACATAAACCTCAGGAAACTGATCTTTGCTGAAGACGATGAGCAAGCATGTCTTTCCACAAGCTCCATCGCCCACGATCACCAGTTTCTTCCGGATGGATGCCATTGCTTAGGATGTTTCTGCTGCTGCATAAAGCACCTGGGACTTCTCGGACCACAGGCTCTTATATACCCAGGCAGGCCGATTACTGCGGAGGTGGATGTCTGTCCAGAGTCACCACCTCTGCTGTGCAGCTCAGCAGGAGGTGGCCGACTCAAGATAAAACCAACTGAACAAGGTGTTGGAAGGCCGGTGGTGGAGGGAGGGGGGCACGCATGCGCACTAGTGCCCAACTTGGCTCGCGCCTGCCAGCCCCACACACCCTCGCGCTTTCACAGTTCAACAGGATTGCTCGAGAGAGATCTGTTGCCCCCAAAACAAGGTTACTTTAGCCATCACCACACCCACATGGAACATAATGGGAATTCTCAAGGTATATTCTTGCTGTTACTGGTTTCTTCAGGGTAGTCTTCTCGTAGTGGTCACTTTTCCTAAAGGTCTTCCTTTGACATGATTGTATGATACCTGTCCTTAAATAGATCTCAATGCCTCACAGCAGTTACTGATTTGCATATATTGAACCATCCTTGGAATGAAGCCTACTTGGCTCACAACTGGTGATGATATTTCTTTTTAATATGCCCCTTATTCAACTCGTAAACATTTTATTAAGGATTTTTGCATCTATGTTGGTCAAGGAAATTGATGGATGGGTTTCTTTGTCCTTAGTATGGTTTTGGTATCAGGGCACTATTGGTGTCATGGACTGAGTTTAGTAGTCTTCCTTTCCTTTCTGTTTCATAAAACAATTGGGGAGACTCAGAGTTAACTCTTTTTTAATGGTTTGGAAGAATTCAGCAGGGAATCTCTCCAGTCCTGAACTTTTCTTTGATAGAAGGCTCTTCATTACTGCTGCAATCATATTCCTTGTTGCGCTTCTCTTTAACTTGCCCGCACCTTAATTTTGGTAGGTTATTTGTGCATAGAAACATATCCATTTATTTTAGATTTTCCGTTAAATAAAGTGTTCTGAATGATCCGCAATGATTCTCTGAATTTAATTGGAATCACTGTAATATACCCATTTTCTTCTCTGGTTTTAATTAGGTTTGTTTTCTCTTTCTTTTGGCTAATTTTGTTAATTTTTTGTTGATCTTGTTTTTCTTTTTCGAGGAACCAATTCCTACTTTCATTGATTCTTCATATTGCTTTTTATTCACTATTTTATCAAACTCTGCCTTAGTCTTTACTATTTCTTTCAATTTTTTTACTTTAAGTTTGGCTTATTTTCCTATAAATTTGAGCCATACTAGTAAGTTTTTTGAGATTTTTCTGACATTTTCGTGAGAGCTCTTAGCTATACTTCCCTCCTAGAATTGTATTTCTGTATACCAAAATTTCTTGTAAGTTTTTATTTCATTCTAGTGACTTCTAAACTATTTCTCCCAAACTGAAGTTAACAATAGCTAAATAATAAGAAGTAGAAAGGGAATGGGAAGGTGGGGAAAAAAAGCAGAGGAAAAGTTCATGTGATGAAATGTGAGAAACAACAATGGGGAGAACACAATAAACCAAACACAGAGAAATAGGAATGATAATCGCTAGTAAGATGGGATAGCAGTGCTCCTTTATTTAGTTTTTGCTTGTTTGTTTGTTTTCAGTTCACTTGGTGGTAGTGATGCAGCCATTTTCTTTCCAAAATCCAAATAAGTGAGTCCAGATCAGAGAGGGATATGTGCAAACTGAGCCTTTCCTTCTCTGGGCCTGGGCAGAATATCTGCCAATGTTTTTGTGTATATAAGGTCTGGAAATTCAAGAAGTGTCATACCCCATCTTACACCGCCACAGACATCAGCATGTCCCTTTATAGGACAGATGTAGAATTGATGTGGGAGATCTTTCCAGGCCTTTCAGAGAATACAGAGCAACTCAGACTCCAGCACCTACCTTTGCAGGGTTATGACAATCTTGTGATCCTGATTTCTCTGCTGTCATTTTTCCCTGTCCTAGTACACCAGCTGGGTTTCTTCCTCTCCTCTTACTAGTGTGTCAGCTGAACACACTCCATCCTAAGGATGCCTGGCTTTGCTCTCAGCATGATTACACTTTCCGCCCAAGTAGATCTGTGTCCATGAATCTGAGTTGAGTTACAGTGGGTGACACTTGTCCTTTCTTAATCATTTGTTAGGCAAGTGGAGAGGGAGAAGCTGAGGCTTGAAATCTCTAGTGTTCTTCTATTTAAACTCTTAGCTCCCTTTGACCTTCTACAAACATAACAGCTCAGCCACTCCTGTCTCTTGGCATCTGACTCCCGTTTTCTTCTTGTTAAGGATTAACTATTTTTTCTTTATTCCTCTACCAGTGAACATTAAAGTTGCCTCTGCCTATCTGTAGCAGTCTTGCTGTGAACTTGTAACGGTGGTTACACCCCCTTGGGCGTGGCCTCAGGCAGATGGAAGGGGAAAGAGGGAAGCTTGAGGTGTGACTTTCCTTTGTATGGTCTTTCTGATGGGTCAGATGATCTGGCAGGGCAGAGGAACACTCCTGCCGTTCTTTGTATTCTTCTGTATAAGTGTTCCCCAATAAACATCCATTTATCATTTATCTGGGGTCTAGTGAACTCATTAAAGCCTCACCTCACCTATTTATTGGAAATAGTGCTGTCTTGGAAGGGTAGAAGATATTTCTTGAAGATGTCATTGCTAATTCTTTTGAATTGTTGTTGTTTGAATGGTTCTTCCTTTGAAACAGTTGACAGTATTAAAAAGGGGACTACTGAAGAGGTGACTATGGCATGAAGTCTCTGCCCTAATAAATAGTGGTACTGTTGTGGAACAAATCTTTTTGTCTCTAACTCATCACATTTTCTGTGCTCCATCATAACCATCGAAAATGTCCTCACAGATGCCAGTATCTTAAACTTGGAATTTCACATATCCAAAACCACAAGAAACAAATTTCCATTCACTATTAATTACTCATTCTCAGGTATCTTTTACAGTACAAAATAGTCAGATAGCTATATACCCATGAAGTGAGATCAGGGATCATGCACTAATTTTATTTTCCATGGTTTTAGGAATAGCCGTAGAGTCTTCTATGGTGGATAGATTACCTTTTCTACTGTACAGGAATTCCGAATTCTCTACATCTTCACCAGAATTTATTTTTTTATTTTTTCTTGCATTTTTAATGATGGCAGCCCTAACTGGTATGACTCTTTTCTTTTCAACTTTGTTTTTTAATTTAAATTAGAATCAAGTTTCTTCACATGTCAATCCCAGCTCTGGCTTACTCCCCTCCCGATCCCCCCCAAATACCCCACCAAATCCCACTCCACTCTCCAGGGAGGGAGAGGCCCTTCATGGGGGAGTCTCCAAAGTCTGTCATATCATCCCGGGGCAGGGGCTAGGCCTTCCCCATGTGTTCAGGCTGAGAGACCATCCCTCCATGTGGTATAGGCTCCCAAAGTCCATTTGGATGCTATGGAAAAATACTGATCTACTGCCTGAGGCCCCAAAGAATGCAGAGACCTCTTCACTGACACCCATGTACAGGGGTTCTGAATGAGTCCCATGCTGCCCCCTCAGTTATCAGTTCTGTGGATTTCACCAGCCTGGTCTTGACCCCTTTACTCATAGCTCTTCCCTCTCTGCAACTGGTTTCCAGGAGTTCAGTTCAGTGTTTAGCTGTGTCTGCCTCTGCTTTCATCAGCCACTGGATGGAGGCTCTAGGATGGCATTCAAGGGAGTCATCAGTCACATTATCGGGGAAGGGCATTTAAGGTAGCCTCTCCACTATCGGTTAGATTGCCAGTTGGTGTCACCCTTGTAGATCTCTGGAAATCTCACTAGTGGATATTTCTCCCCAAACCTATAGTGGCTCCCTCTATTATGGTATCCCTCACCCTGCTCTCCTCTATTCTTCTCCCAACTCAACCTTCTTTCTCCCCCATGTCTTCCTCTCCCCTCCTCTTTAACCCATCTCTTTCTCTGAGATTCCTCTTACTTCCTCAGTTTCAGGAGGTCGCATTTATTAACTGTTGATTTCAGTCCTGTGCTAATGGTGTTATGTTCAGGAAGCAGTCTCCTGATCCAACTCGTTCAAGGATACCTCCCACTTTCTCTTCTAAGAGGTTCAGTATGGCTGGGTTTATATTGAAGTCTTTGACCCATTTGGACTTAAGTTTTGTGCATGGTGATAGACACGGATCTATCTGTAGTCTTCTACATACAAATATCCAGTAATGCCAGCACCATTTGTTGAAGATGCTGTCTTTTTTCCATTGTAGAACTTTAGCTTCTTTATCAAAAATCAAGTGTTTGTAGGTGTGTGGGTTTATATTAGGATTTTCAATTCAATTCCATCAGTTTACCTGTCTATTTTTGTGCCAATACCAAACTGTTTGGGGGACTATAGTTCTATAATAGAGCTTGAAGTCAGGGATGGTGATGCCTTCTGAAGTTCCTTTATGGTACAAGGTTGTTTTGGCTGTCCTGGGTCTTTTGTTTTCCATATAAAGTTGATTATTGTTCTTTTAAGGTCTGTGAAGAATTGTTCTGGTATTTTGATGGGAATTGTGTTGAATTTGTAGATTGTTTTTGGCAAGATTGCCATTTTTACTATGTTGATCTTACCTATCCAAGAACATGGGAAGTCTTTCTATTTTCTGGTATCTTCTTTAATTTCTTTCTTTAAAGACTCAAAGTTCTTGCTATACAGGTCTTTCACTTGTTTGGTTAGCGTTATCCCCAGATATTTTATGTTGTTTGGGGCTATTGTAAGGGGTGATGTTTCTCTGATTTCTTTCTCAGCCCATTTATCATCTGTATATAATAGGGCTACTGATTTTTTTAGTTAATATTTTATCCTGCCACTATGCTGAAGGTGCTTATCAGTTGTAGGAGTTGCCGTGTAGAGTTCTAACTGATGTGGCTTTATACCTCACTGTGGTATTGATTTGAATTTTCCTTATGTTCAGTAATACTGAGCATCTTTTCATATGCTTATTGGTTTTGTATATCTTATTTGGAGATATGTGTCCTCAAGATCATTGCCCATTTCTTAGTTGGAATATTTTCTATTCTTATTGTAAGAGCTCTTTATATACATTATGATGTTGGCTCTGTATTCAGACTGTAGGCTCCTCTTTCTCTGTTTCCTTTGTTGTGTAAATTTTATTTTTATGTAGTTCTGTTTGTCTATTTTTCTTTTGGTTGTCTGAATTTTTGGTATCAATGTCAGGAACAAAATCATTGTCAGTTCTAGTGACAAACATTTCCATGTATGTTTTCTTCTCATGTTATTATTTAACTATCATATGTAGGTCTTTAATTAGTTGTGTGATCTTTTTATGGGGAAATGTGAACCAAGCATCTTCTCACCCCAGACAGGGCACCACTACAGAAGCAAAGAAATGATTCCACACAATCC